TCAGGTCATGATCCCAGGGTCCTGGGATGGAGTCCCACATCAGGCTCCTTGCTCAGTAGAGAGTCTCCCTCTGCCTGCTACTCCCCCTGCTTGTGTTCCCTCTCTCGCTGTGTCTCTCTCTGTCAAATAAATAAAATCTTTAAAAATAAATAAATAAAAATAAAAACTGATATTCAATTCAGTTATTGGAGAAATTTTTATGTGTCTTTGGAACAACCTGGCTATATGAATCTAATTTTTCAACGAACTTTTATGAAATCTAGATACTGATCAAGTATTTCCACTGAAAATTTAGTGTTCACATTGAGATATGCTGTTAATTATAAAATCACCAGATTTCAAACTTAGTATAAAAAAGAAGTATCCCAATAATCATTTTATATTGATTACGTGTTGAAATGATAACATCCTGTATATATTGGGCTACAAAATATATTATTAAAATAATTTTCATGGTTTTTTTTAATGGGTTACCAGTAAATTGAGTTACATATGCGGCTCGCTGAGAGAAAATACAAAGAGGTGTTGAGCTTACAATGAGGCTGGAAAGGCACACCATCAAAGTTTGCTAATAAGGCAAGACAATATCTAACGCCAAACAATAATCACTGTGGCGGCTCAGAGGAGAGAAAGCCGGGGCCACCCACAGGCCGGCCAGACTTCAGCAGAAGACGAGCCAGGCGCCCCTGAGTGTTTAGAGTGGACGCACCGCAGGACGCGCTGCGCACGCACCGCCGCGCGCTCCGCCCGGGAACGCGGGGCGCCATTTGACCCCGCCACCGCGCCGTAGGTCGGGCTGCACGCCGCCGGCTGCCATGGCGGACGTGTCCGAGCGGACGCTGCAGCTGTCTGTGCTAGTGGCCTTCGCGTCCGGAGTGCTGGTGGGCTGGCAGGCGAACCGGCTGCGGAGGCGCTACCTGGACTGGAGGAAGCGGAGGCTGCAGGACAAGCTGGCGACGACTCAGAAAAAGCTGGACCTGGCTTGAGACCCCGCGCTGTCGGCCCCCGTCGGCCCCCGCCGACCCCG